TACATCCTATATGGGTGCAAAAGAAATCAGTGTAAAAAAAAAAAAATATCACACCCCCCCCCCCCCCCCCACAAGTAGTACAGTGTCACCATGGTGATACTGTACTGCTAGGGTGACGGTATGTAAAAAAAAAAATAAAAATAGAAAAAATAATATAAAAAAATAATATAAAAATGTAAAAATAAATGTTTAAAAATTATAATTTTTGGTTATTAACTAATTTGGATTTTTTTTTTACTAAAAAGATAACGGAATAAATTTTGGCAAAGATTTATGATGAAATATTATTTATTTGCAAAATGTTATTAAAAAAAACACTTTTTTAAAAATATTTTGGACTTTTTCATTTACATAGCAAAAAAAAATAAAAATCTCAGCGGTGAATAAATACCACCAAAACAAAGCTTTATCTGTCTCAAAAAAAATGGTAAAAAAAATTCATTTGGGTACAGTGTGGCATGACTGCACAATTGTCATTCAAAGTGTGATAGCGCTGAAAGCTGAAAACTGCCCTGGTTAGGAAGGGGGGGAAAGTGTCCGGACTGGAAGTGGTTAAAAAAAAAACACTCCGCAAAAAAAAAAAATGCTGGTGCGATGCAAATTGAGCCCATAGAAAAGGAATAGACTCAACGCTCTGCAAAGAATTGCATTTGATTTGAAAAGGAATGTGGTGTGATTGCTGTCCGAATCGCATGTGATTTCCTGCACCACGATAGTGAACCCGTGCTTAAGGAGGGATGCTAACCCTAGGTTCACATCTGTGCGGGTGGTGCGGCTGCGGATCCACACGAAAATCCGTGAAGCCGCACCACCCACACAGAGGAATGCGGACCCGCGGGCGGGTGCCATTAGTTCTAATGGCACGCCGCCCGCACTGGAAAACCCAACCGTACTGGGAACCGAGGAAGTGCAGGGACTTCTTCCCTGCGTGTCACGGGGCACGTGAGTCCATTCAAATGAACGGGCTCTGGTGCCCATGCAAACTGCGGCCCGCACGGCTGCATAGATGTGAACTGCGGGTTTACTGCCTGTCAGTATGAGGTAAATTTGCCTTCTACCTGCCTGGTAGTTCTTCTTTTAACGTGGATCCCTGTTGGATCTACGGTAGGTATAAACCACCGCGGAGCAAGTTCCCTCTCAAAGGTACGCTTCCAAAACACACCCAGGTTGGGCCCAGGAACCGTCAGGTTGTTTCCAGTTCGTATAGACCAGGGGGTCTCCAAACTTTTTAAAGAAAGGGCCAGTTTAGTGTCCTTCAGGATTTAGGGGGTCCGTACTTGGCCAGTGTGAGTAGAAAATGCCTTGGCATCAGTGGGAGTAAATACGGCCCCAGCATTGGTTTCCACAGGAAGAATAGTGCGCCATTGACGGTGTCAGTGGAAGGATTAGTGCCCCTTCATTGGTTTTAGCAGGAGGAATAGTGCCTCATGGTTGGGTATCAATGGGGGGAATCGTGCCTCATCGACGATGTCGGGAGGAGTAGTGCTCCATCATTGGTCCTAGCAGGAGGAATAGTGCCCCATTGTTGGTTTTAGCAGGAGGAATAGTGGCCCATGGTTGGTGTCAGTGGGAGGAATAGTGCCTCATCGACTGTGTCAGTGGGAGGAGTAGTGCTCCTTCATTGGTGTCAATGGGAGTAGTAGTGCCCCATCATTGGTCTTAGCAGGAGGAATAGTGCCCCATCATTGGTCTTAGCAGGAGGAATAGTGCCTCATTGTTGGTTTTAGCAGAAGGTAGTGGTCCATGGTTGTTATCAATGGGGAGAGTAGTGCCTCATCAACTGTGTCAGTGGGAGGAATAGTGCCTCATCGTTGGTTTTAGCAGGAGGAGTAGTGGTCCATGGTTGGTATCAATGAGGGGAATAGTGCCTCATCGACGGTGTCAGTGGAATAGTGCCCCATTGTTGGGGGGGTCAGTGGGAGGAATAGTGTCCCATCATTGGTGTCCAGTGGGAGGAAATAGTGCCCCATCATTGGTGTCAGTGGGAGGAATAGTGCCCCATCATTGGTATCAGTGGGAGGGAATAGTGCCCCATCATTGATGTCAGTGGGAGGAATAGTGCACCAATCATTGGTATCAGTGGGAGGAATAGTGCCCCATCATTGGTGTCAGTGGGAGGAATAGTGCCCCATCATTGGTGTCAGTGGGAGGAATAGTGGCCCCATCATTGGTGTCAAGTGGGAGGAATAGTGCCCCATCATTGGTGTCAGTGGGAGGAATAGTGCCCCATCATTGGTGTCAGCGGGAGGAATAGTGCCCCATCATTTGGTGTCAGCGGGAGGAATAGTGCCCCATCATTGGTGTCAGCGGGAGGTAGTGCCCCATCATTGGTGGTCAGCGGGAGGAATAGTGCCCCATCATTGGTCTTAGCGGGAGGAATAGTGCCCCATCGTTGATCTTAGCAGAAGGAATAGCGGCCCATGGTTTGTATCAATGGGGGGGGGGGGGAATAGTGGTCATCGAAGGTTTCAGTGGGAGTAATAGTGCCCCATCATTGGTCTTGGCAGGAGGAATAGTGCCTCATGGGTTGGTCCTTGAGCAAGATGATGGGGGAATCGTGCCCCATCGACGATGTAGGGTGGGAGGAGTAGTGCCCAATCATTGGTCTTAGCAGGAGGAATAGTGCCCCATTGTTGGGATTATCAGGAAGTGTATGATGAGTAGTGGTCCTTGGTTGGTATCAGTGGGAGGAATAGTGCCTCATTGATGAGTGTTTAGCAGGAGGAATAGTGCCCCCATCATTGGTCTTTAGCAGGAGGAATAGTGCCCCATTGTTGATTTTAGCAGAGAGGAGTGGAGCCTCATCAGTGGTGTAAGTTGGAGGAATAGTGTCCCAATGGGCCGGATATAGATCAAGCAAAGGGCCGCATCTGGCCCCCGGGCCATAGTTTGGAGACCACTAATATAGAGGAATGCCCTGAATAACTGGATGTAGTAGAAAGATCATTACATTGGTGAGAGCTCTGGAAGACCCAGGGCTGGAGATGAATTAGATAAGGACTAAAATGTCCGGCGATTATCTGCTCCTGTCCAAATTAATCATTCTAGCTTTGGAATGTGCGCACACTGGAAGAGACTCGCACTGACACACAAGTTGTCTATGAACACTTCTCTAATTTATTGAAATGAAAACGTGAGTTTATATATGCCAAATGATGCGAACATCACGTGAGAACAGCAGAAGCATTATTCGTCTTTGATTGGTCACTTTACACGAAAACAATCTTCTCCGGAATATAGGCGTGACCTTCTTCTAAAATCTTCTCTATAGAAAGAAAAACATTCCTTTGTCTTCGAAACCACACGATGGGAGGGGGTCGGTGCATGTGAGCAGACACCTCCCGAGCAAGGATTTCTTAAAGTACCACAAAGCCCAGCAGGCAGAAAATATACACACAACGGGGTTTTTTTTTTTTTTTTTTTAATTTTTACTACTATGGCGGCGATCAGTGACTTACAGCGAGATGGCGGTGGGCATTCTGACACTGGCAAGGAGGAACTGACTTGGTGTCACTGACATCCCCAGTGACACCCGTACAGTGATCAGTGCTAATAAAAAGCACTGACACTGTACTAATGGCACTGGGCAGGGAGGGGTTAACATGAAGGGCGATCAAAGGGTTAACAGTGTGCTGTTTTACTAACGGTGCTGTGTCTGTGTACTTCACTGTAAGCATGCTGCTTTGTATGGCTCTGCTGTGCACAGCCATGCAAGGCAGTGTGCACGAGCTGACAGGGAGGAGAACTGTTTGGTTTACAAACAGTTCTCCTCCCCGTCGGAGATCCTCAGCAGTCGTCGGTGGGTAATCGCCAGCCGGGAACCGGTGATTGACAGCCGCGGCCACGAATGGTGGCGCGGGTAGAGCGCACGGTTCGTGCACACCCCCTACCCGGAAATGCAAAATCATGTATATATACGTGATTTTGCGCACCCCTGTAGCAGTATTTCTGCTATAGGGTGGACGGGAAGCGGTTAAACAACTGTAGTATCCGGCTGCAACATAACAACCATGGGAAAAAGTGAAGGGGGTCTGAATACTTTTTGAATGCGCTGCATAGTGTATTCATGTAAAACCAAGATGGATCCAGGGGCGGACTGACCATTTGGAAACGCGGGCACTGCCCGAGAGCCCGGGGTCAGTAGGGGGCCCCATGAGATGCCCCTGGTACCTTTTTCATAGGCTTTTTTGAGTTTTGGGCAGGACACAGGGGCCCCATGATCCCCTATTGCCCGGGGGCCCCATGAATTGTCAGTCCGCCCCTGGATGGATCACATTAGTTCTCGGAGAACTTTAGAGGCTTAGATTATGATTTGTTAACCTCTTCTGTTTGTGTTTTGTGACAGATCCTGCAGCCAATCACGTGCAAGAGAAGAGTCCACCAGAGGAGCCGAAGGACTCGTATAGCCATCCTGGGAACGGAGCCATTAAAAGATCCTCCAAGAGGGCTCGACTTAGTAAAAACTCAGATGAGCGGAGTGGGAACTCGATCGGCCAGGACGAGAACGTGGAGCGTCCAGCTGCGCACACCAGAAACCTCCGAGCGCGCAGACAGTACTTCTGCCAGCACTGTGAGAAATGCTTCAACTACAGTTCGGCCTTGGAAGCTCACCTCCGCGCGTGCACAGCGGGGACAAACCGCACAAGTGCGGCGACTGCCATCAGTCCTTCAGTTACAAGTCCGAGCTGATAGTTCACCGTAGGAAACACTCCAAGTCCTCCAAAAGTACATCCAATGGTGTGCAAGAGGAACCTCCAACCAAAGCTGCGCCTTCCGCCAAAGCTGCGCCTCAAGAGTCCATGCCGCCAGATACAAGTATTAACGGGACCTCAGAGGCCAACAACACGAGTGAAGAACGTGTCGCGAGTCCCGTTTCCCAGACTGTCCCGAACTCCCAGCCGAGCACCAGTAGCAGCGCGCCCGCCGTCCTCCCTCAAAAAGAAAGCGACAAGCCTCTGAAATGCAATTTCTGTGAGAAACGGTTTAACGACAGGTCGATCATGGAAGCCCATCATCGAATCCACACTGGGAAGCTGGCATACCCTTGTACGATGTGCGACATGAGCTTCTCAAAACCGTCCTTGCTCGCGGCTCACAACAACACGCACAAGGAAGGCAAGCCTTTCCAGTGCGACCAGTGCGACAAGAACTTCAACGACCAGTCGCTCCTCGTGGCCCATAAGAGGACCCACACCGGGGAGAAGCCTCACAAGTGCAGCCACTGCAACAAATGGTTCCCCAACCGCAACAGCTTGGTGGAACACGAAGAGTGCCACCTGAAACCCAAGCCGTACAAGTGCCGGCACTGCGAGAAGAGCTTCAACGACAAGACCCTGCTCATCACCCACGAGGGAGTGCACACGGATACGAAACCCTTCAAGTGCACTCAGTGCAACGAGAGCTTCTTCTTGAAGACGCAGCTGGTGGCCCACCAGGCCAACCATGGTCCCGATAAACCCTATCCATGCCACCAGTGCGAGAGGAGCTTCAACAAGAAAGAGACTCTCTTGGCTCATATCCGGGTGCACAACGTGCAGAGCCTGCAAGTGCAGAAAAAGCTTAAGCCATGAGGCGGCGGGTGACTGCGGTTATGTCATAAAGAACACTTTGCAAGAGCAGCTTCTTTACTACAGAATGAAGTGGGACAATGCGGCACAAGGACCGCCATAGACAAGGAGCCATCTACTATCCCTCAGGCGTTGACCTCCAATATGCTGCCTTCTATATTTCTTTGTGCATGGCTGCCTCTTGGTGCTTGGACACTTTTTGCTTTTTTGCATTTGTTTTGTTTTCTTCTCCACAAATGGCTTTGGAAAATGAATTCACCTCTTAAACTTTTGTTGCCCTCGTTTGGGACTTCTATCACCCTATAGTTTCTGTAGGTTTGAAGACCACGAAGATCCAGGCTGGTCCTCATGAACTTGTAGAGCCTCTTGTGTTAACTCTGAGACTGAGGACTGTCCCTCCCTTGTTTCGGAAGGTATCAGTCTGATATTAAATAATTGTTTTTTTTTTGAAGAGCATACATTGGTCTGTGCAGAAGAACATACGTAAGGGACATGGGTCTGTGCAGAAGAGCATACGTAAGGGACATGGGTCTGTGCAGAAGATCATGCGTAAAGGATGTGTGTCTGTGCAGAAGAGCATACGTAAGGGACATGGGTCTGTGCAGAAGAGTATACGTAAGGGACATGGGTCTGTGCAGAAGAGCATACGTAAGGGACATGGGTCTGTGCAGAAGAGCATACGTAAGGGACATGGGTCTGTGCAGCAGAGCATACGTAAGGGACCTGTGTCTGTGCAGCAGAGCATACGTAAGGGACCTGTGTCTGTGCAGAAGAGCATACGTAAGGGACCTGTGTCTGTGCAGAAGAGCATACGTAAGGGACCTGTGTCTGTGCAGAAGAGCATACGTAAGGGACATGGGTCTGTGCAGCAGAGCATACGTAAGGGACCTGTGTCTGTGCAGCAGAGCATACGTAAGGGACCTGTGTCTGTGCAGAAGCGCATACGTAAGGGACCTGTGTCTGTGCAGAAGAGCATACGTAAGGGACCTGTGTCTGCAGAAGAGCATACGTAAGGGACCCGTGTCTGTGCAGAAGAGCATACGTAAGGGACCCGTGTCTGTGCAGAAGAGCATACGTAAGGGACCTGTGTCTGTGCAGAAGAGCATACGTAAGGGACCTGTGTCTGTGCAGAAGAGCATACGTAAGGGACCTGTGTCTGTGCAGAAGAGCATACGTAAGGGACCTGTGTCTGTGCAGAAGAGCATACGTAAGGGACCTGTGTCTGTGCAGAAGAGCATACGTAAGGGACCTGTGTCTGTGCAGAAGAGCATACGTAAGGAACATGTGTCTGTGCAGAAGAGCATACGTAAGGAACCTGTGTCTGTGCAGAAGCGCATGCGTAAAGGACATGTATCTGCGTGGACAATGCGTCGGCTCTCACCCTGACCATGTAGGACTTCTCACATAGCACATCCTACACTTAGCCTGGAGCCCCTGACAGTTGTCACATCTTTTTAGGAAGATTTGGGTGACAGTGGGTATGTTTTACGTCTTTAATCTTCTTTTTTTTTTTTTTTTCATACAGATTAAAGTAGATGTAAACCCAATCACCAAAATCTCATGTCTTTACCATATTCACATTATTTTTTTTTTAAATTGATTTTCAGTCCTTTTACATTTGCAGCTTTTAGTAAAATAGCACCTGGTGATCCTGCCAGGAAGGTGGTTGTTTGGGCACTTCCTGTTAAAGTGTTGCTAAACCCAAGACCCTGCATTCGCTGTATTCACTATATCTGCTCTCCCCGTACCCGCATTCACTATATCCGCTCTCCCCGTACCCGCATTCACTATATCCACTCTCCCTGGACCCTGCATTCACTATATCTGGTCTCCCCGGACCCTGCATTAACTATATCTCTGCTCTCCCCGTACCCCGCATTCACTATATCTGCTCTCTCCCGGACCCTGCATTAACTATTTCTGCTCTTCCCGGACCCTGCATTAACTATTTCCGCTCTTCCCGGACCCTGCATTAACTATTTCCGCTCTTCCCGGACCCTGCATTCAACTATATCCGCTGTCCCCGGACCCCGCATTCACTATATCCGCTGTCCCCGGACCCCGCATTCACTATATCCGCTCTCCTCGGACCCCGCATTCACTATATCGGGTCTCCCCGGACCCCGCATTCACTATATCGGGTCTCCCCCGGACCCCGCATTCACTATATCGGGTCTCCCCGGACCCCCGCATTCACTATATCGGGTCTCCCCGGACCCCGCATTCACTATATCGGGTCTCCCCGGACCCCGCATTCACTATATCGGGTCTCCCCGGACCCCGCATTCACTGTATCGGGTCTCCCCGGACCCCGCATTCATTGTATCGGGTCTCCCCGGACCCCGCATTCACTGTATCGGGTCTTCCCGGACCCCCGCATTCACTGTATCGGGTCTCCCCGGACCCCGCATTCACTATAGCCGCTGTCCCCCGGACCCCGCATTCACTATAGCCGCTGCCACCCCCACCCGCCGTTCGGTAGTTCTCAGCCTTACCTGAGAAACCGTTGAACGATCCTGGCACTGGGCATAGAGAGATGAGTGAAGGAAAGATGGCCTCCACTCATCTCTATGTCCTTGAAGGACCGGAGCGTTGTCACTTCTGGTTCCGGGCATTTTCTTTTTTCTTTTCAAAGCACTAGATCAGGGGTCCTCAAAGATTTTAAACAGGGCCAGTACACTGTCCCTCAGACTGTTGGAGGGCCGGACTATAGTTTAAAAATAAAACTATGAACAAATGCGGACACCGTACAGGAGATGACCAGAGACTGCGGACACAGTACAGGAGATGACCAGAGACTGCGGACACAGTACAGGAGATGACCAGAGACTGCGGACACAGTACAGGAGATGACCAGAGACTGCGGACACAGTACAGGAGATGACCAGAGACTGCGGACACAGTACAGGAGATGACCAGAGACTGCGGACACAGTACAGGAGATGACCAGAGACTGCAGACACAGTACAGGAGATGACCGGAGACTGCGGACACGGTACAGGGGATGACCGGAGACTGCGGACACGGTACAGGGGATGACCGGAGACTGCGGACACGGTGCGGGAGATGACCGAGACTGCGGACACAGTACAGGAGATGACCAGAGACTGCGGACACAGTACAGGAGATGACCAGAGACTGCGGACAGTACAGGAGATGACCGGAGACTGCGGACACGGTACAGGAGATGACCGGAGACTGCGGACACGGTTCAGGAGATGACCGGAGACTGCGGACACGGTACAGGAGATGACCGGAGACTGCGGACACGGTACAGGGGATGACCGGAGACTGCGGACACGGTGCGGGAGATGACCGGAGACTGCGGACACGGTGCGGGAGATGACCGGAGACTGCGGACATACAACGGCGGCGGGAATACTGGGCGGCCGCTCCATAAGACGCACAGACATTTCCCCCCAAGTGTGTCTTATGGAGCAAAAATACGGTAAATGCAGGACACCTTGTTGGGTCAGATCTGTGTACAATGTAAAGAGAGAGAGGAGGGGGGAGAGAAAGGAGGGGGGGGGGGGGGGAAAGGGAAAGGGAGGGGGAGAGAGGGAGGAGATCGATCATCTCTATTGCACTTATCTAGGGTCCGTGGCCGTGATACCCAACATGCAGTGATGGAGTCTCCTCTCTTGCTCCCCCTCTTCATGGTCCGCTCTAGGCTCCGCCCTCCGGCCGTGACGGTTGCATGCACTAAATGGAATAGATGGCCAGCTGGCTGCAGAGAGGCCTGGTGAGTGGTGCGGGTTCATAAGCCGAGACCACCTTCCCCTCTTCTAGAATTGCTGATCCCGCCCTCTTGCCTCCCGCCCGAGCCCTGCCGAGTTCTCCTGACCTGCCAAACCCTAGTCCCATGCCTCGCGGCAGACACGCCCCTGCCCGGCGGGCTGGATAAATGTCCTTGGCGGGCCGCAGTTTGAGGACCCCTGCACTAGATCAATGCTTTTTTTTTTTTTTTTTTTTATCCAATGCTTTACATTGCAGAGGAGAGATGTGTACAGTTTTAAAGCGTGACATGTTTGGTGTCTATTTACTCGGCGTAACATCCTCTTTCATATTTTATAAGAAATTGGGGTATATATTGTTTTTTTTTTTTAATCCGTGTATTTTTTTTTTTCCAAAAAATATATATTAATTTTTAAAAAAAAAATGCGTGTTTCAGTTTTTGGCCAAGTACATTTTGAATTTAATTTTCGGCACCAGAATTTTCATTTGGGTGCACCACTACTAAATACCTTTTCTCATCAGCAATATATAGCAGTCTTGTGACTTCTATCAGTGTCCAGAAGAGCGTTGGTTAAAGCTTGTAGGAGGAGTTTTCATTCGGCTCTAGGAGGATGCAGAACCCCTGACCTCTGTCTGGACAGTGCTGATTGGCCCTGTGCTGATCACATGCACTCTCCTAAGAATGAAAAAAAACCTCTAACAATGCACACCAGGGGTGGAAATTTTTGAAAAAACTCCTTGTGGACCCCAATCTACTTGTCCCTCATGACAATCTGCTTGTCCTGATGGAAATTTAATTTTTTTTTTTTTCTAACCAAAACCGTGTTTAAATTGGAGGTGATTTTAGGAATGTCGGGGGGGGGGGGGGGCTTTTAAAAACAAAAGGGGCTTTATGGCGACCTAAACATGTAATATTTTTTACCATTGTGCTGTTATCTCCTCCCCCCCCCCCCCCCGCCTGTCTCCAGCACCGCCCCCGAGGACTAGCAGGAAGGGGAGAGACCTTGCAGTGTATTGAGCAACGATTGGCTGCTCGTCAGGAAAGGGGAGTGTCAGGCTTATACTTTATCCCTTTCGCTGCCAGAGCCGGTTTTGCGTTTTTTGCACACGGTTAAAAAAATCATTTTAGGCCTGAAGATTACACAAAACCCCCAAACATGATATATTTTCTGAAAGCAGAGACCCTAGAGAATACAATAGTGGTAGTTCAAATTTTTTTTATGTCGTCTGATTTTACCGCAAAATTTTAGTAAAAAATATTTTAGGGC